AGATAGAGAAAATTTCTTTAAGATGACTGAATACATTAAAGCTATGCTCAGCTTTAACTTGAAATACAGTTCCCATGGAGTTCCTCTCCCATGAATTAAGCTGAAGATACTGCTGACTTCATTAGGCTTGAGTCATGCCCTAAGGAATCCAAGGGGGCAGTTCCACCGCTAATAAATCACAGACTTCTCTTATAAATCTGTGCTGATTTAACACACCTGTTTTAGTTTCCAGCTCAAAAACAGTAAATAGTAATTAATTACCACCAATGTAATATATGTCCACCTTTACAATTTTAATTTTTCTTTTTAAGTTTTACAGTACATTCCACATACACTTATGAAGTTATTTCTACCATCAGGTGGCAGCAACCAAGCTACTGCCCCTCTCTCTGCAACAATTCTCCTGTGTGTGAAATGGTAATCTCTGAATCTCTCTTTAATGGGCGTTGAGAAACACCTGCAAGAACTGCTGCAAAAGATCAAGGTGTTAATATTATAATCACTAACAGCATTTCCATGGAAGGTAGCAGCAAACTAATCAATCAGACATTAAAATCTATGCCTGCTAAAATGTGAGACCAAGAGGGCTAACAAATAATATTCAAAATATTCCATGACTGTTTAAGACCTTCCTCATTCTTATCCTTAAGCAGTTGTGCAATTTCTGTACTGCAGTAATCCCTCCAAAGGCAAATGTGAATGTTGGCAGGATCACACATTTCTGCAGAGGCCTTTTCAAGCCATCTGATTTTAGGCACATGTTTGCCAGTGAGGAGCCCACTCATCCTCTGCTCCTCATCCATCTGGCCTGGAGCAGGCGGACCTCCCACAGGAGGTGCCTGCAGCCCACAAGTCATGAAGCTCCGTCCTCCTCCCTGAGTTCTCAAACCCAAATCCTTTTGGTTTTTGGAATTCCTGCTAAGACCATATTCTCCCTTAATCCAGCCCTGCACTCTATATTACACAATATGTATTTCTCAAAGGGTCCAATCCTGCTGCAGCTGGAGGTTGGTAATCACACCCTGACCTTTGGGGCTGCAACTGATCTTGTCAACCACTCGATCACTGCAGTGGATGCCAGCACCCACTTTTACAAAGGACCAGGACTGTGTTTTGTAAAAATATGCCATATGAGAGAGACTACAAGTAAAAATATTTGCCAGCCCTCATTTCATTGGGGAGGTAGCAGAGCACACGCTCGCTGCTGCCATAACCTCGCCGGGTGCTTGTCAGGTTCTGCTTCCTTCAGGCGAATTGCAAGTGAAGTCTGTTGAAAGGTTTTGAGCACTGTCCAGGTTTCAGCTGATTCTTGCTCAGACAGTTTTGCTAGATAATTTTTTTCCCACAGTTATCATGCTGGAAAAAATCCCAGCTTACAAATAGATGTTTTAAAATACATTTAATTTTCTCTTGCACAGTGAATTAATTTATTTTAATATCTTGCTTTGTCTCCAGGCTGCAGATTGATGAACAAAGTGATGATTTCTGACAGACCTCTTAGCCAAGATCTTCCTTTCAAAAACTGAGGCTGAAATTTTACATGGACCCAGAACTGGAATGCTGTTTTCTGTGTCAATTCCATGTGGCATGCAACAGCCTCCCATGTCAGAGTACTGTGTCCCATTAGATCAGTCCTGACTGACAAAAATGATGCTAAGGTAGCCAAAATGCATTGCCGCTATTCCTTCTCCAGCTCCATGTTAATTTAGACCACAGTTCAAAACCAAACTAACTCCTATGTAGTTAGTAAAATAGGAAGCTATGGAAGAATTACAATTTCAAAGAGAATATGATCGTTTTTTAAAAATAACAATATTGAGATATTAAGTGCAAAATTAATAAAAATTCACATTAAGTTGGCCATTTTCCTCAATGAAATATGTTGGCTGAGGATCAAAACATAATTTATATTTAAATTAGATTAAAATAAAAAAATAATAGAGTTGGAGAGGGAAGTGATTATACATAGCTTGTTTATAATCATGTGAACAGAATTATTTTCTCAGTGCTTTTAAAATTCAAGTTATAAACAGTTTCCTGTTTTTTAAAAATAAACCCTGCTCTTGTTCTTCTGGAAGTAAAAACAATCCTAACAGGGTTACACTCTGTAAAGAATCTCAACTGTAACATTTCAGAACATTGCTCATAGTAGTGTTAGCACATGCTGGCAGAAAAGGCTGAAAAAATCACTGTAAAAGAAACACAGAACAATAATCTAAAATTGAACTATTTGAGAATCATTTTTAGATTATCTTTTAAAACAAATTGCTTGCTATCAATAGTTCTTGGAACAATTTGGAACTGACAGATTGTGGGGTGGTGACAGTGTATTACCTCCTATTTGGCTAGTGTGATGATCCCTTAAGCCACACACATAGCTGTGACCCCTCCTGTAACACAAGGGGGGAAAGTCTTATTTTGTTCCAGTTTCAAAATCTAAAAACTCTCCACTCAAATGTTTCATATTACATTCTTTCACTTTTTTTTTTTTTTTTTTCCCTGTTTGCATTTTGTCTGCTTGTGTTGGGATAAGCCAGAATCTTGTCTCTAGTGTAGGAAAGACGGGCTGAGATGGGATGACTTTCATGGTCTGAAATCATGGTCATTATATAAACCTGTACTCCTTCACGTGACAATGCTCTGTATGGGCCTGGACAACACAATTTAGTATATGCAATAGATGTTAAGAATGGATTACTTAACAGCGAGCTTCTGCAGCTCAGGTCCTTTCATCCTAGCAAAAAGATATTGTCCAACCATAATAAATTCAAGGAAGGTTAGCAATGATTATCAAATGTACGGGATGGTTTCCAGGTGAGGAACACATGATTACAGCAGCAGTTCCTAGCCCGGAGAAGAGATGACCTGAGGGAAATGAGAGAGGCCTACAAAATCAGAGATGGCCTGAGGGAGCAGATAGGGATCTAATGTTTGCTGTCACTTCCAGCACAAGGACAAGGATGCATGACATGAGTTTAAAGCAGATAAGCAAGTACAAAACAAAGAAAAAGAATAGCAATTGTTGGGCAGTAAACCAACTAAACTTACTGCCAAAGTCAGGGCTGCACTGTTGTGGATGCAAAAAAATTACGTGGGTTCAAAGGGAGACTGAACAAATACCTGGAGGAGACATCTCTTGATGGTTATTATATAGACAGAAATCACAACCAGGAAATCCCTATGCTGAAGATAGCTTGAGGCTGGGAGAGTAGTCAAAGGAAGGAGCGTACCTACGCATACTTATCCCTCTTCTTACTCTTGCCTTGACTAGCTGCCTATGGTCCTCACTGGGAACAAAATGCAGGGCCTGGTGAACTCTTGGTCTAACCCAGTATGTCCCTTCTTATGTTCCTATCACCTTATTCATACTGAGGAGCACGTAAGCATATTGTCTTTTCAGAAGACCAGTGTCGGATGTACATACTGACGATAAAAACCTTTTTTCCAGTTCAGCATCTGGGGGAGAAAACACTGCAAAAAGCAGGCCACAGTCTTTGATGTCAGTGAAAAGCTCTCCAAAAGCTGTTTACCAATTCTTGGTTTGCATCTGAAACAGAATTTCAGAGCCTGAGGTATTCTACGTGGCCTGAGGATGGACACACGTGCATGCACCAGGTCCTGGTACCGATGAAATGATGCTAACTGCCTGCTGAAACCCACGTGGTGAGGCTGGACTGTGAGTCGCACAGAGACCTGCCAAGTCTCAATCTGCTTCACATCACCATGAAGTACAGGTTTTCCAGTAATCCTTAGTGTGACATGTGGCCTGCTGTGGACTCCCTAGCCAGCAGTGACATATAGGCAGCGATGAATCCTCTGCATGTATATTAGACATGCTGTGAGCTTGCTCTTAAAAACACCTCTTAACTAAAAAGTATTGTACAGGTTGGACAAAATGTTGGTGGTCCAATGGGCTTTGGGAGGGCACCAGTACCACCCCCTGAGCTGACATGGGCAGAGCCTGGCCCCTCTCCACACCCTGCTGCTCTGCCCTCCTCCCCGACATCCCGCCCTGGTTTCTGCTCATTTGTTGTGTTAGTCATGATGCTCTTGACAGAAACTGTCTTAGCCTGTTGAGGAATAAGTAAAGCACCATGATAAGCTTACACACACGGTGTGATTTACAGCCCAGGCTTTGGTTTATGTCACTCTCTCTGTCGGAAGAGTCTCCAGGAAAGCAGCATTTCAGTTTATTGCCTCTGAGAAGAAACATGCCTTCCTCAGCAATCCGCACGCAAGTTACGCTGTCTCCTCACCGTGGCTTAACTGCCCTCTGGTGTCTTCCCTCAAAAAAACAGCCTGCTCCATCCATCAGCTAGAGCAGTCACAGCAACCACTGTTAGCAGAGGAGCTCCAGCTCACAACTGGGCTCTGTTCGCCCTCAGATACAGGAATAAAAAAGGAGGCATCTGAGTGGCGGCAGCAGAGCTGCACAGCTGAATTTCTGTATCATTCATGTCCCCACAGAGGTGGAAGAGCGCTGCCCTGAAGAAAAGGGCATTTCCATCAGCCTATCTGTTCAAATCCTCCTGTACAAATACCAAATCTTTTCTCTAAGAACTGGATCTGTCAGGCAATGATATCTCTAGGTTGCTTCCAACTAGGTCTACCTTTGAAGAAGCAATGAAGTGACAAAGCCCTTATCTCCTGTCTGAAAATGAGGGCACAGGCCTGTACCAAGTCTGCTGCCACATAGTATGCAGGCTTGGCAAAAAGGATTTGTAATACTGGTTTCAACTGTCAGCATTTCATGTCAGGGTCCGCATCTTTCTCCTTGTTTATCTTGTTCCCAGCACACTTTCAGATACTATGAAAATAATTTCACCGTTCCCCCAGGTTAGCCAGTACACCATACTGAGCTCATTTCTGAAACGTACCTTGACATTAAAAATAAAATGCTACCTTTTTTAAACCTCAAACTATTTAAAAATTACTTTGAATGTGCAAAGGGAGAGCATGGGCTCAGACGAGAGAGGAGAGGGACTGAAGCAGGGTCTTACCCAGTGATCTCTCCTTGGTTTGGTTTGCTGACCGCACGACGGGAAGGCTCGCCCGCGTGCGGCTGCCCCTCGAAAAGGGAGTCGGAGAATCACCCTCAGACATGGCCTCTAAGGAATCGGCAGACGCTTCAGATAGGTGCTCTGTCTGGTCACCCAAATTGGGCTGTGGGCTCTGCGACGGCTTTGGGCTTCTTGTCTGCAAAACAGAGCATTGCGTTATTGGTCAACTGGACCTAGAATATTTGGGGAAAATAACAAGAACAACCAAACAAAAAACAAAGAGAAGGAGGAAGAATTCCAAACTTCTTCAAATACTGGTATGCTGAAGGTCACTTCTGTGTAGATTATTTAAGAAAACGGTGTCCGTGGGTATTCTGTTAAGGTTTTTATTGTTATACATTCACGTTGCAAATTTTATTGCTAACAAGGCCCTCAGGACAAGAAGTGCTGAAGAGACATATGGTAATGCCATTCCTTGCTGCTCAAACAACTACTACAGCATAGACATGTCTACACACACACACACGTGCGCTTACTGAACATGTAAGATCAGAAAGGTTTTCATTGTGCTTTCTTAAATTTGCATTTAAACCCTCAGTGTATGGAAGTACGAAGAGGACACTAGTAGCACAGTAGCATGTCAATGTCATTTAAACCATTTGCAGTTAAAGTTATAACAGAGAAAACCTAAAACACTACTCTTATGTTGATAAGTCTACCAAGAAAAACACTCCACAAAGAAATTGTGTGATGCAGCAGTCATAAGCTATTAATCTCAATATATTCTGCTGTGATGTCTATGTAAGGTAGAGGTCATGCAGCAAGGCCAGATTAACCATCCAACATTTCTACCCAAATTCATAAATAATTATTTTGTTTTTTGTTGCATCAGCAAAAATCAGAAATGTCTTCATTAACTGACCAAATTAACTACGATTTTTACTGGGCAATCACATTACTAAATTGCTAAACACAGTATCCAAAAAAAGCAGACTCTCTCATAGGAGAGACAGGGTTTCTTCTGGGCATTTCTACTGACTCTCTATTACTGTAAGATATGTGTAATAAAAACGCATTCAATAGGAGATACAATGTACTTAACAATTTTTGCTGACTATAAGTGATATTGTAAGTGCCTTCTACAAGGAGAGGTTGCATGAAGAAATATACTTAGTAATGTTTGCTCTGTTCAGTGAAACTCCCTCCACCAGATTTAATATTACCCTAGAAGAATAATTTTCCAGTCTCTCAAGCAAACTCTCTATCACTACAAACTAGAACAGACATTGTACAAGCAGAAATTCAAAGCAAAGCAAGCTCATTCTGTCCCAAAAGTAGTATGCAAATACGAACTTTATAAAGGCCTATAATCAGTACCAGGCACAAGATGTCATAAAATGCTTATGCTTTTCTTTTCCCTATCATTTAAGGTCAGATGTTAGTATATTAAACATCCTCTGTATTAAAATCAACTTCAACTCTAGATTTGAAGATGCTGGCAAGATCCAGAAATGTTTTTGCCTCTTTCTAAAAAGCCAAGATGACATATCTTGCTGACATCTGGTTCCTTCAGTGTTTTTTTTTTTAAGTGAGATGAGGTGAGCTTGTTTCAGCAATAGCACAGATTACATAATATTCCCTGTGTGACTTTGAACGTATGAAGAACTTTAGCTTTTATTAGATTTTCATTAGCTGGCTATTGAAGCTTGTTGTTGCCAAGTTGTCCAGTTGCTCACAAACTATAATAAATTAGAAATACCTCAAGAGAAAGCTAAATCCTCCAGAACTTTTCACTTCTCAAATGTTAATAATAAAATATTAGGTATTATCCAATGTCCCGCAGTGAAGTTATTCAAGAGCACTGAATTTTTGCAGGAGTTAAAGCTAACAACATTTGTTCTCAGTAAACTAAAGTATGCTTTGAAGTGCCTCTTCCACGGTCAGCACTAGTCTGCAGGTTGTAAATACAGGGACTTGTGCCTGAAAGCTTACAGAGGTGACAAATGACTTGCAAACACAGAGAAAGAATTTGATTACTCAGTATTTCTTCATTCAACTTTCCAAAATGGCTTGGGAACCATCACTGCTGAAATATTTCATTTACACAGGCATACCACAGGAGTACAACCAAGTCAGGTCATTACAGCTTCCTCACTCCTTGTACTACTAACAACTTATCTGTGTGTACCCATTAATAGAAAGTTACAAGGCATATCAGAATGCTCACTTTATAGAAAGCCATAACTAAAAAATAAAACTGGATTGAAAAAAAAAAAAATCAACCTGCAAAAGATTGTTATATTTAGAATTTGTTGGGAAGGGGATTATTTTTGTTTCTTTAAGAAAAAATATTCTCAGAATATGAATCAAGCCTATTTTGCCTTGCTTTCTTTTTTTTTTTCTTTCAGTTGAATCCTCACATGCCATCTGAGACATGCAGTTGCATACTGCATATAGTTTATCCAAAAATATGAACAGGTGCATATTTTAGCAGTTAGGGAATACTCCATTACCATAAGCAACTAGACACAATCTCAGCTGTGCAGTTGACCAGTGTTACCTGCCAATGCACAGGTGGAGACAACTTCAGCAATGCTATGTTTCTTTGGTTGTCCCTGGGGCAGTTCTTTAGGACCTAACATATGGCATCTCACCCTCCTGGGCTGAAAAAAAAAGCACCACTTTTCAGCAGTACTCATTCCACAGCCCCAAAACTGCAACACCATGAGGTGAATTGGACCCCACCAAAGCAAGGCAGAGGCACATCATGGGTTCTGCTCAGACATGAAGCTCAGACCTCCTCTTAACATGGCATAAATCCATACTATTTCCATGTTTGAAAGTGGAGTTGCATAAATGTAAAACCAATGCAAGCTATTATTGTGATCTACCTATATACAAACACCCGTTGTGAAAGGTTACAAGCTATTTCTCATGCTCAGCTCATGTAACTATTGTATTTCAGGTGTAATTCTGAATTTTAAACAGATTTAAAAAAAAAATCGTCAAACAATAACAACAGGGGTTATTCAAATAACACGGATATGAGTATGTATTTGATAAGAAATCAATTTTATTCTTGGCAGCGAGCACTAGGCTTAATGCTACTTAATAAGCAAGCACATTCCTAGTCAGCATTTCTTAACCAGCCCATGAAGTGGGGAGAGGACAAGCAACGTTTATGGAGCCATAAAGTGCAAGGACTTGTAAAGATAGCTGCAGAAAGAGGGGCAGAAACATTCACCATTACCCAGACCTTGTAGGGAGGGGTGCAATTCGCCTTGTTGACACCAAAATCAAATAAATAAGACAGATGACACAAAGAAGTACTTACTAAATCATACCTTATATATTTTCCCATATGTTTAAATATGTTCACAAACAAAATTTAAAAAAAAAAATCAAAAACAGTATTTCAGAAGTGTCCCTTTAGTCATTTTGGGGTAACTAGTGTGCAGTATAAGCATTTGCAAAATAAATATTCACCATATAGTCCATGTTTCAGGAAACATGAGAACCCAGGCAGAGTCACAGTATGGACAGCTGCCTCTGGAGCAGGGTGGCACCATAACTGCATGTTGCAAAGGTCCAGTAAAAGCAATGAACTGGACATTACTGTGCTGGGGTGGCTGCCTTTTTAATAAGCCTGCAGGCAAAAAACATAATACTCAAAGGAGAAGAAAGGTCAAGCTGCTCACAGAGAGGTAGAACCACCCAAACCCAAGCCATCTGTAAACAGACGCTGCACACATGCATGCAAAACCAATGAAACGCCAGCACTTTCCTAGCCACACCTCTGGGATAAATGCCCCAAACCAGAAGCAGGCTCAGAAGTATGCACCAGGGCTCTCTTTTTCCCTGTGCCAATACTGTTTAGGCTACAATTTCCTCGGTCAGCAATGGTCTTCTCCCCACAGCTATATGTTGGGAGACATCCCTCTGAATGTTTCTCTGTGCAATGAGCCTGATTTTTTAGCCAGCTGAGTGGAGCTTAACCTATTTGAGGACTTCTCTGATAAAAAGATCTTGTCTCTGCTAACACTGGGTAGGAAACTCAGCAAAAAGGAAAGGCCAAAATAAGACGGGAATTCTGGTGAAATCTTAGATATAATTACAGATTTCTTTGAGATTACTGTTTTATTAAATTTTCTTAGTATGCAAGGATATACATCTCTGTAACCTTTTCAGGGTATATGTTTAAGTGTAACACATGGAGGTAGCAGTTACGGAAGATGTGGTGTTTTCTAACTGCTCTTGGGATTTAATCAAGAATTAAAACCACGGTTAATCATACCTCACGACTGACGTCTGCCTGCTACAGCTTGTCTGAAGTATGCACTTCTCATGTATCTGCTGTAGTTTTACTGACTCCGAAAAAGATTCAAAAAAAGTCCAGGGCTCTCTGAATGCAGTAACATTTCAAATAATGAGCAGTGAGACCAGAAAGTGCCTGACTAAGGCAAAGTGCCGGCCATACAGCCAGCGGGCACACCAGAGACATCCCTCTTTGAAGGGGGCAAGCTGCTGCTTCTGCTCCCCTGCTCCCATTTGCTTCCATGAACCCCTCATCCTTTGGCCTACCCAGTCCTATTGCTCTGCTCTTCATAACATCCTATGCTCATTTTACAGTTATTCTCCATGCTAATCTATATATTCAAATTGTTTTCATTCATTACCTTTCCAAAAAACTCTCCTGAAAATTTGCTTCATGCATTTTCAGACACACACACACACACAAAAAAAAAAAAAAAAAAAAAAAAAAAAAAAAAAGTAAAAGTAGGTTATGCCCCCTAAACCTGAAGAAGGATTTAATTTCATCTCTTGATCAAGAGATGAAATATATTTCCTGTCTCCAGGAACTTCCAGGAACTTTATCTTGACAGAAAGTTATCTCTTTAGGAGAAGAATATTATCGCACACATCTTCAGAGTTGCCAGCACTCCTGGCAGTGTGCAAATGGTAAACAAAGACATCAAAAAATAGTACAGCCCTAGTAAAATACCTCTTTTTTAAGCAAGTGATCTAAAGAACACACTTAACATAGGCAAAACAAAACAAACATTTGAGTGTCTTCTTGACATTTAAAAAAAAAAAAAAAAAGGAAGAAGAAAAATTAAAAGAAAAATGGAAACCTGTTTTTCTGGACTTACAGATAAACTATTTCTCCTGTGACTTGTGCCAGAGATGACTACTGGATGTGTGACAGACTGCAAATGTGCATTTAAGCAGGCTGCATTTAACGTATGAAGAGTTTATTAACTCTGAATTATTGTCACAGCACATGTGCTCTTATTACCATAACAATAATATTTCTTCTTCCCATTAGTGTCAGATCCAAATGATGGTTGTCTTAAGGAAGGGCCTGCTTCTCCCAAAGATACAGAGTCTTTGGGTCCTATATGATAACCACTACAAGATTTTACTTGTCTCGATATGCTATTAGGGACGTAATGCTGTTGGAGAGAAAATGGGTACTATCCACATGTTCTTACACACCTACATAAGGTTTGTTTTGCCTCTATGCAGTGAATGCATTTGGATACTCCCTCAAACACACGCATACAGGCACACAGAGGCAACAGGCCGAGCCTCCTGTAAAAGATTTTCACTTGTGAAAAGACAAAATGTCTTTGGTCTGGGAGAACTGGGGTGGGGACCTGATTCAGCAGCTGAATGCAACATAAAACCATCTTTCATGACAAGCTCCCTTTTCTCCGTGCATTATTTCACAATTATGAGATGGGAAATCCTATGGCATGTTCCTTTTGGACTCCTTCATCTGGAAACGGTACCATGCTGAGACAGTGGCCCTGCTCTCGAGGGTTGAAGAGAGTGGGAGGGCAACTGCCCCTCAGCACCATGCATATGCTGTGGGCATTACTTACACTATTGCTGATGCCTAACGAAGCACTAGTGGATGTCTCTGGCTGCAAGATATATATTTCAAACACAAAATGTAAAAGAAAGCACAGGAGAAGATAACTCAGCCCGCAGCACCAGGAGTCACAGGAAGGTGCTGCACCAAATCCTGGTGACGTTCAGTCCCAGCAAGGTGGCATTCCAGCAAGGTGGCTAACACGAGATGCCACACCAAGTGACGGTTTCGCTCCTTTCTGTGAATTTATCTGAAGGCAAAACTCTGCTTAGAGCAGGATCTTTATCACCACTCTCTGTATTCACTGATGCTGATCACCGTTTCTTTCAGCTGGCAGATAAAAACCACATCTAATTATGTGTCAGGATCCATCAGCCGTATTTTTAGGCTGGAATGATATCCAAATCATCCGAAAAATCTGCACGTTTTCCCAGGAGCCTTGCTAGCTCCCGTTGGTGGCCAGCTGCGTGCTCCCTGCTGTGGCGAGCCGCCAAAACCCATTTCTGTTAATCCCGAGGCCGGTGAATCAGCGAGCGGGGCGTCCGCAGGCTGCCGACTCCTGCGCTCCCCGCTCAGCACCGTGGCTCACGCTTCGGAAGGGTGATCCTCCACGTTAGCAGGGGAATTTTTCATGCAACCCTGTTATAAAGGACTACCACGGAGCAACATTTTCAATTTCTGGTTCCTAACTTTAAGCACCCAGATACATTGAAGCCTGCTTTTCTGGAAAGCGGCTTTTTTTGCAGTAAAGATATTCATTAGGCGCAATAAAAGCTGTAGGTGCTCAGCACTTACACTGCCAGACCTCTTATTCAGATGTTTAATTGGAGGAACTTGCATTTGAAAATGTTGCCCTCAGGAACTCAGCAGCCCGTCTAAGAGCAGCTTAATTGGTCCAGACAAGTCCAGACTGAAATATGCAACATGCTGTGGCATCTCTTGAATACGCAAAATATAAAACACAAAACAGAAAAAAAAAAAAAACAAGTCATCCCTGCTGAAGCACAGAAATATTTCTCAGTACGTTTCTACCCGAATCCCGGGATTTTTTCTTTTTACAGATGCCAGTCTGAGGTTTTAGGGTGGAAATTAAAGTAAAATGATAGACAAAACAAATATTCACCCACTGGTAATAAGCAGAAATCACACTGAATGAAAGAAATCTTTCATTTTAAAATAAAGTCATATGTCTCTCTGCTTTATTCTAATGTGATATGAAGTATTTATTTATACGTGATAGCTAAATGTAAGAAGTGACTGATCACCTCACCATTTTTCTCTGCAGAGCCTTCCATGGCCCCATCAATTTTGCTTACAGCAAAATCTGTTCTTTCCCAGTCTCTCTCATATTCTTGCACCATCGCCTCAGTTTATTATTACTTTGTTTAAGTAAGTTATCTGTAAATTTCAGCCTGGACACCAACATTTGTCTTAATTAAAATCTCATGGCAGCTTCAGTTGGAAGCTGTTTCTCTTTTCCCTCCTAAAAACCCTACTGTGAAGCATTCATGGGACAGAATGACCCCTTGTTCCATCCAGGAGGTGGCTGCATTTCATCAGCAGTGGGTGAGGTAACTCCTACCTACACAACCCCCAGAACTGTCATGAGAACGCTCAAGATGAAAAGGGATGATTTAAACAAAAACTGTCATTATGCTGATTAAAGGGGAAAGATCCTTACATGCTTGAAACCACATGCAAAAAGGAAAAAAAAAAAAAAAGAAAAAAAAAAGAATAAATACCAGATGCCTAGATGTACCTAGGGGATGGTGTGTTCTGATTCAAGAAATGATTATCTACCCATCCCTTTTCTCCCACACATGTGCCTAGGGAAAACAGGAGGAGGGTCTGTTTTTGTGGTGTCTGTTTCCCAAAGCAAAGGAACACGGTGCGGGCTCCAGCTCAAAGCTGTCCTGGAAAAACCTGTTTTTCTGTGTTCTAAAAGTGAAGGAGTTCTTCATTAACATGCTATTTTAGAAATAACCCAAAAAATAAAAAAGACCTCACCGCTGAGGCTGGTGAGTAGGAGGGATGGGTCTGCTTGTCCCGAGGAGGGGCAAGAGGAATGCTGTGCAAGAGCCGAGCTTCTCGGCCTCCTTGCTGACTTGCCACCATGCCCTTGTGCTCCTTCTTCCCTCCCTCCAGGCCATCATCTCCTTAGCACAGGAGGGAGAAGCCTCCCTGCTCCCCACACCTCTGCCGCTCCCACTGTTCCCTGTGGTCAGCATTTTTATTGGCGCATTTACATTTTCTAAGTCAAAACAAGCCCAGTGGGGAAGTGACAAATCAGGTGCAAATAAAGTTGCTGCACACAGTGCACGCTCGGAGGCCTCCTTCCTTATTTGCAACACGTGTTGTCCTGGCACTTGCGTGGTTGTGCTTTTGGCTGCAAAAAAACCCCACGCAGTGGCACATACATGTCTAAAAGGTGTGTGCGTGTTCACTACACCAAGGGAAAAAAACATTACTGTAGCAGACATCCACGTAGCAAGTCATACAGGAATGGAAGAGGAACTCAACAGACCAAGAGCTGAGATACAGGCGACTTCAGAGGTGCAAGCGGTATTTGAGCAAGAGCTCTGAAGAGCTGTGGCCTTATGTCAGCCTCCCTTACATTGAGATGCAAGGTGCAGCAAAAGGGAAACACTTCCAAATCTGCATGACAGCAGGGGATGATGTCAGGAAAGGAAAGTGCTGCCCCAAGATGCAGCACATGTGAAACATTAACATCTTCTCAATGGAGGCTCTTTTAAATGTTAATTTATATTTTAGCTGGGCCCACTACACTGCTCTCCAGCCATTATCCCATTTGAATCTGCAGCAAGTGTATTCCTTCAACTTAAATTCCCACAAAAAGATCAATTTGCAAGTTGGAAACTAAGCTTTTTTGCATATCAAATACAGAAATATTTGCCCCTGCATTCACAGATCTGTCCTTAACTTTGCGGAAAGACTTTTATCCCTCAACTCTGTTCCAAATGTGTAATAAATACATAAATGAAGTTAGAATTGGGACAGCTGGTAGCGATCACTTATTTATCTAGGACCTCCCACCAAATGTTGGTGGATTTCAAAACATCTATCTAGGACAAGAGTGTGGACTTCATGTCTATCATGCTATTAAGGGAAAAATCAGAATTAAAAAATCATCAAAGGATGCATCACACTTCCATATGCAATTAATCTATATGAATGACACCACTTTCAGAGGGAAAAAGCATGCAGATCCGTATTTATTTGAGAGCACTAGTTGTGATGCAAACCACACACAGTTAAAAGGTAACAAACTCAATCCACAGCAGAGTGCAGAAAAAAGAAAGTACAGTACTAACTCTCTGAGAGGATTCAATTTTCATCAAGTACCTTTGAATGTCAAGTTCTGAATGAAGGGAGACCAACATGCACTGCAAAACCTGTGGATCAAAGAGAGAAAAGAAGGGGAGGGGGAGAGATAATTGTTAACAGGAAAGGAAAAAGGAGAACAATAGAATTAAAAGAGAATAACCTCTACATATTGAAGGTATGCTGAGAAGAGAAGAGAAGAGAAGAGAAGAGAAGAGAAGAGAAGAGAAGAGAAGAGAAGAGAAGAGAAGAGAAGAGAAGAGAAGAGAAGAGAAGAGAAGAGAAGAGAAGAGAAGAGAAGAGAAGAGAAGAGAAGAGAAGAGAAGAGAAGAGAAGAGAAGAGAAGAGAAGAGAAGAGAAGAGAAGAGAAGAGAAGAGAAGAGAAGAGAGGACTCAAAAATAATAAAGGAAAGGCATATGTGCTAGGGAACATCATGTTCTATCAATAGTTAATATGCAATATTCTCAGAAACTTCGCTGGACTCAGTTCAGAAATGCTACCTATGGAGGTATGTCAAAGAAATGGGAAATGTCTCTGTGATAAAAGAGAATGGGAGAGAGTTTAGCCACACAGATTCAGATGTGTATCTAGCAACCATATCTGACAAGAAGTGGCAAAATATGCATTCTTCCAAAGCAATGATACAACTCTTGGAGTTAGCAACAGTCATTGCAATACTGTGTTGGTTTCTCACTTACTACAAAGACATGGAATCCTTTAATCAGAACTTAAAAATATTATATTATTCTTGTTGAATCCAATTTACAAAAGAGTAAAATATCAACTGTGGTATGATTAAAAAATATTCTCTAGTCATGTCTTTTTACTATTTCACATCCAATCTTAAAGAATATACACTGTGAAAATGTGCTAAAATGGGTTTAAAGGCCAAAACAAACAAATATATTTTCCCCATCACATGAATGCAATGAGAATTGGAGGGAAAATTGCCCACTGATGTTTGAGTCTTTATAGGCAGAGGTCCTATGCTCTCCTTAGTCTACATTTGCCCGTGGGCTGGAGGTGGGGGTAGAAGAGATTTTGTGCAGTGCCCTAAAAAACCTTCTCTGAGCACTGGATTCCTCTCCCAGTGAGCGCCAGGCTCCCACGACAACTGTTCCTGGCCCGATCAGAACGTGCAACTATTCGCACCGGGCAAAGGAGCACAACTGCTCTGATAACAAGGACATTATTGTTAAGGAATCTTACTTAGCAAGTAATTATAATGCCAACATCATAATTAAGAGACTAATTCAAAGAATCTTTTGAATTTTACAAACCTAGGGGATATGAGCATAGGAGAGTTGATTCTTGGGATGAGATACGCAACATACAAGTATACTCAGATTTTTCATGACTTTGTCTATTGGATATTTTGGAAGGGCAGTACCATTTTATTTAAAGTGAACAATAGATCATTTTTCTCCCCATGAGAAATGTATCATTTAGAATTGTTCAAGTAAAATGTGATTTCTACAAATAAGCCATTTATGCAAACAGTACAAATTAAATGTAGCCTTCCGGCAACAACTGGATGGATTCCAATTCCAAACCACACAGACAAAACAGTCTGTTGCTAATGTTTGAGTAATACTGAAACTGTATTACATTTTTTTCTTTCTTTTATAATGTCACCACCCCACAAACCTAAGAAGTTCTGTCTGACCTTTAATTAAACTACTCTGACTTTAAAAAAAAAAAAAAAAAAAAGCTATGGATTTTCTAAGGACAAAATCCCATGTCAATGCCAAATACACAAGACACCCAAAGAACAAAAATTCTGTTGCATGTCTGCTGGAGGCTTGGTATGCATCACATCTCAACAAGACCACACTTTAGAAGGGACATTACTCTGCAGAATGGCAGAATCAAGTGTTCATCTGTTGCCTTCCTTAAAGCTATTGCATAAAACCAACTTGAGCTACTCAATTTCCTTAAACCCTTTCACCCTAGTGGGGAATTACAATTGCATCCTCTTTCTCTTGACTTTCCTACTCCCAAAGGAAATGTAACATCCATTCTGACCTAAGGGAGGGTAAGGAAATGAGGATGCTTGAAAGAGTCAGCAACCCTCCCCACCCCTAATTCAGTGAAAATGCTGCTCTCCCCCTCCTTTTATCATAACAATGTGTTTATTTTAATTCCAAATAGTTGGATGAGGATTCATAGTTAGAATACATAAAACTCGTCCACCTAGATCCAGAAGTCCCTCCCTCCTTTTACCAGAGTTGTTCTGAAATTTGCTGTATGTGATGCAGGACTGAGTCATCAATCTCTGAATAAATACAGTCTGGAAGGAAAAAAAAAGAAAAAAAAAGAACCACACACAAACACAGAGTGACAACAGTAGAGCAGCAGAAAGATCCACAGAGTCCTGCATAAGGTGGCACCAGGAAGCAGAAGAGGCCTTCATAGTGTTATACAGCAAACTTTGGATCACCCAAAGAAGATCTAGGCATGCCCATATTGGAGAAATGTAATCAAGACCATTACTGCAACCCACGTAAAGACCTTATTATGAATGAAATGTGAAGACAGTTGGGTCTGACTTCAAACCTTGAAGCATGGCTTCACTTGGAACTTTCTAAAATATTTCTTAACTTTCTATATTCCTTTCCAAACTCAACACCACACGAATGCCTTCCTCAGCAGTCTGATGACCTCAAGGGTATTTAAAGAGGGAAACCAGCAATGATCTATTTCTTCCTTTCCTCATAGATTGTGGAAGAGCTTTTCTTTTTTTCTTTTTTTCCAACTGCAGGCATGCATGTGGATATATATAGTGCACAACGATGGGAAATGAATTCAAAGAGTGCTTTGCGACTTCCAAATGCAGCAACGGTATGGGCTCCTGTGACAATCTCCCTCGCTGACTCCACCATTGTACTACAAGATAGGAGGCATCACAGCAAATAACCCATGTGAGGGGAGAAATAGGAATTTGAAGCAAATCCCACATAAGATTATAAAACTTTGGATGGGACTCACTAAGAATTAAAGAGCTGTAGAGAACTGAGCACTCAACTAATGTGCTCTGAGCAACCTCTGCTGGCCAGCAGATAAGATCCTGCACTTCCTACTAAATGGAGTTGTGCAGAGCCCATGACTTCACATCTGTACATGACATCCTCAGCTGATTTGAATGATCAGCATTCGGCCAGCTTCACTAGCATGAGGGTGACCTACATGTGGTGGGTCTGTCCCAGTGAAGGGAAGAATGACAGGGGTTTTTGCTATCTGACACCAAAGGGAGGCTCCTACAGAAACTGGTATTAAGTCTTCATGAGCTGTAAATGACAATAGCCAGAATAGAAGTGGTACCAACTCTTGTCAAGGTCGGGTTAACAGACAAAGAAACAGATTAATAGAGGCAGGTAGAGACATGAAGGTAATATGGAGAAAATCAAGAAAAGAGCGTAAGTAATTTCTTCTGGTGAAAAGTGGAAAATGTTAGAGGCCAAGGAGGAGAGTGGAAAATGGGGCTCGGACACTGCACACAGCTAACGAATGGTTGCACAGCCCCATTAACTGCAGGTGCAAGCAGGAAGGGATGTTACATGGAGAAAAATGGATTTCAGGAGCCAATCAGCCAATCTCTACTGTAATGAGAAAGGTACCAGGGAGAAAGGAAACAGCTGCCAAACATGTTGCTTTTGAACTTTAAACCTAAATGGAGTGAGCAGCGGCCCTGGAAAAAGGTGTAGAAAGCTAAGAGTCATAGGAGGAAAGCAAAGATGCCAGGAATGCAGGGAATGTCATCAAATGGAGTCCTGAGAAATGTCTGGTGAACACTGCTTGCAAGGTAGTATCCAAAGGGTTAGCATGCAGTAACTTAGGGAGGACAAGGATTAATATCTCGAGGCTGACTGACTGTGTTAGTCATTATTCTGGGCCCTTCAAAACAAGGGTGAACGAACTGTAAGGCTGCCTTGTGGGATCTGCTTGCTAAGCAGATCAAAGGAAAGTATTCACCACTTTAAGCAGGATCAGGCCTGTTGAACACTGAAATGTTAAGTCTCCGAAGGAAAAAGCAGATGCTTGAGACACTTGTGTTGATGATTTAGTAGGAGACATCTGTCCCCCTGAGTCAGCCTGAAATAATGTCACAGAATGGTGTTGGGAGCGCAATGTGCTCCCACAGCAGGAATGCAGCCCTGCTGGCAGTGCCGATACAATTCAAAGTGCCTTTTCACTGAGGTACTGGCAGTGCTGCAAAAGTGGAGAAATGCTAGGCTTTCCCCCTTCTTTTTTTTTTTTTTTTTTTTTTTCTCCCCCAGTCTCTGTAATAGCCACTTGATTTATGCTCCTGTTGGATTTCAAAAAGGAAGTCTTTATAAAGGCAGAATACATTGAACACATTGCATTTATCACGGGTCGCCCAGGAAGATGACACAGCTGCTGAGAGACTGGAAGTGGCTAAAATTAGAGAAATGCACAGGTTTGGTATGAAGCAAAGTCGGGTTAGCCAGGCCATTACAATGCCAATTAGTGTTCCCTAGGCTTACAAGCTCCGGGTGAGATCCTGCAGAGACATGCCATCAGCTGACGCTGGAGGGAAATGATAACGAAAACACAAAGGGCTAGATATGAGTACGTAGATGATGATACATGATGAAACAAGATGCTGACTCACAAGTCCTCATAAACTACTTGAAACTGAGGGAAGGAAATGAGGATCAACTGCCTATTTCCTGCACACAATGGTTTTGTAGGAGGGGTGCAAGATACTGATATTTTTCAACAATGGGATAAGTCAGGTTTGTGGCTCAATTGGGCTCAGACCACAGAGGTTCTTCTAACAGAAATTTTAAGTGCACAAATACCTGCCAAAGAATGGAAGAGGTGAAGTCTCATCACATCAAAATACAAAATAAACGTACAGGATTAACTCCAAGCAACCTGCAAGATAGCAGTTAGACAACTGCTGAAAAAATGGAGATGGCTGAATACAAGGGGTCCAAAAGGAAGCACAGAAACAAAAAGACCAGTCAAATGTAAACAAGGAATGTAGTCAGAGAGATGAGAACAAAGGAAGAGGGCTGCACAAAACATTAGGACTTCTTATGTTTC